CCTGTCAAGTTGTGATATAGCAGTTTGAGATTCTCCAATAACTCGCTTTGATTTAAGACGATCGTGTTATTAGATTGCAAAGTAAATCTTTCAATTGTCAGCGCGACTAAAAATACCAATTTTTTTTCTTTCGGTACAACCTGTATATTGTATCTATATTATTGATTTGATGGGTTCCATTTCGAGCTTTTGTCTTAAACGTGATTGATTCTTTATACTGTTTTCGTTTGCGGTATAAAAATATGATTCTTTTTTACCCGCAGTTGATCTGAAAAATGGCGGAAGCTTGTCCTACGATTGCGAAGAATGTCGCTGAAGTAATATTTAGTTGTTCTTGATTCTATCTTATGACCACAGATTCTTACCTGCTTTTGATGTAGGTTGTCCTTAATTGTTATCATTTTCCCTTGCCATGTACAGTTGATTGGTAAAACGCCTCTGGTTTATCTCAACAATCTGACGACTGGCTGCGTTGCCCGAGTCGCTGCTAAACTGGAGATGATGGAGCCCTGTTCCAGCGTCAAAGACAGGTACATGACTTCCCATCTATCATAAGTTTCCTCTTGTTGGAGTTTGTGGTTTTGTTCTCACTCTAGTATGCATAATCCTTTCTCTGATTTTTCCATGTTTGGCTATTTTTCTTGAGCAGAATCGGATATAGTATGATTGCTGATGCAGAGGAGAAAGGGCTTATTCAACCTGGGAAGGTTTGTCCATTTCTATTCTCATCTGTTCTGAGGTTTTATTGGCCGAGGAGTGTTTGAAATTTGATCCAAGTGATATTTTGGGGTATTGTAGTTAGAATAATTTAGAACTATATATGTTTCTCATATTTCAATTCGAGCTAAAAGTAAATATGGCTGACAATTTTCTTCTGTTCATTGCATGGTTACACTTGCCAGAGCGTCTTGATTGAACCTACTAGTGGTAACACGGGGATAGGCCTGGCCTTCATGGCAGCTGCAAAGGGTTACAGGCTTATTCTCACAATGCCAGCCTCGATGAGCCTAGAAAGAAGAATTATTCTTAAAGCTTTTGGTGCTGAACTTGTGCTCACCGATCCAATTTTGGGCATGAATGGAGCTGTTCATAAGGCAGAAGAATTGGCAGCAAAGACACCCAATTCCTATATTCTTCAGCAGTTTGAGAATCTGGCTAACCCACGGGTATTTTGGAGATCAATCTTTCCAGAAAATTTTCTGTATAGAGATAGACTCTTAGTTCAACTTGTGTTGCAGATTCATTATGAGACAACTGGGCCAGAGATATGGAAAGGGACAGAGGGTAAGGTTGATGCTCTGGTCTCTGGCATTGGAACTGGTGGTACGATTACTGGAACAGGAAAGTATCTGAAAGAGCAAAATCCTGAGATCAAGGTATGTTCTATAACCAATACAACAACAACAACAGTCCTATGTTGCTGCTTTTGATTAAGTACACATAAGAAACAATACCATCTGCTCTAATGGGCTGCTAATTTTTATATTTGTATATGTTGTTTTTTTTTTTTCAGCTCTATGGTATTGAACCATCTGAAAGTGCAGTATTGTCTGGAGGAAAACCAGGTGTTCGGCCTCGCATTTTGTCTTGTTTTGTTTTTTTCCTCTATAAATTTTTTCTTTCTTGGTTCTGTAACATCAATACTTGAACATAAGTGAACTTGCATGTATCCTTGTTAATTTATTATAGGTTTGCATGCATACTAGTCAAATAACAAGAATACATGCAAAGAACTTTGAAGAATGTCATTGTTATTGTGAACTCGCATGTATACTTGTTAACCAACAATAAAGAATATTATTGTTACTGTGAATTTTCATGTATACTTGTTAAATAACAATAAAGAATGTTTCAGCCTAGATCCTTCTGTAACTCATCATTGTCATCTTGTTCTGGGGTAGATATGGAACTAATAGTTGTCACTAGAATGACAATTGTCTCTCAGAACTAGAGGATAATTAATAGAAACTTAAAGGAAAGAAATTAGTGAAGCTCTAGCATAAGTAAAATAATGATAACCAGAACATGAGTGGTACAAGTACATGTTTGACAGCATCATGCATCAAGTGTGAAATGAAATGACCGTAAAAATTGTAATACACATAGGATTGGCCTAGATACAACAGGATTGACTTGATCTGCTGATGGTTGTTCCATGTCAAGCAAGGTTTGCTCTATTTTGTCATTCTCTAATTGGATTGCCCTGGTTTGACCTAATTGAAGACCCTTGGTTTTTGGGCATTAGAGATTTGCTGTACTCAATATTGTTGGTTGTTCTAACTAAATTTGATTGATGTGGGATGTGGTTGTTCTCTGATATTTAGAGATTTCAATTTTTGGTCCCATGTAATATTCAATGTGGTTTCTTAACCACTCAATATTTTGATTCCAAAATTATAGTTGGTTCATTTTTCTATTATGATAAAATTCATTCAATTAAAATGGTATTTCACTAATGCACAGTACACACAGTAGCTTTTCTCATTTCTCACATCGTGCTCTTCTTCTTCAGGCAATGCTTAATTTGATATCTCTTTACTGTTCATGCTTCTGTCATCAATTCAACAACTGTCATTTGAAAATAGCATATTATAGCATATACTATGGAAACTCATTGCGAGCATGCTTTTTCACTACTAGCTGGTATGCATATTATGGTTGCCTCTTTAAATCTGACACAGTGTATACCTATCATAACTATCATGTTAATAGGAATCAGAATCACACCACTTGATGCACTTAAGAAAATGTGTTGTATTGGAATGTGTAACTTTTGGATCATTTTGTGAAGGAGCAGCTTTACATAATCAGTAGCATGCGCCTGATATCTGCTTTCTTCTAAAATATGACTTAGGTCCACATAAAATTCAAGGAATAGGAGCTGGCTTTATTCCTGGTGTTCTGGATGTCAATCTAATTGATGAAGTTGTCCAAGTAAGTTTTAAAATGTTTGTCTAAACTCCAGCTTAATGAAGTTTCTCATTACATGTTGATGAACAACTAAGCATGATCAATTAGCCCTAATTGGCCTGGTTGCATCTGTGATTCTTGAACATTACTATATTTTTTTATTTTTTTCTGCCATTTTAAATTTTCACCGTCTTGTTTCCTCTGCTTGGGTTTTTTGATTAGGTCTCGAGTGATGAAGCTATAGAAACTGCAAAGCTTCTGGCCTTGAAAGAAGGGCTGCTGGTGAGTTTGTGGCAAAGAATACAAATTTCTCATTTTTTGCTCTTTTGTTGCTAGTTTTTTTTTTTTTTTTTTCTTGATAATGGACTTCTGCCGGTTGGTGAACCATTGCAGGTTGGAATTTCATCTGGGGCTGCTGCCGCTGCAGCTATTAGGATTGCCCAAAGACCAGAAAATGAGGGGAA